GTGTGTGTGTGTGTGTGTATATATATAAATATATAAAATAGAGAAATAAAATTTACAATGGAAAAATCATGAGATAAAGCTCCATGTGAAGTTTTAGATGTTTGCAGTTGGTTTTCTCACTGTCAAAAGAAAAAAAAAAAAAAAAAAAAGAACCAAAGAAAGCATCGATGCTCTGATGAGAGAAGCGATACTCTTCACTGTATGTATGTACAGGCAGGCTGTACCAGTCATCGAGACACGAGCTAGTGGGCGAGGCCTGAGCGTCTGACCCAATTTGTTTCAAGTAGAAAACAGATCACGAAAGAAGTCCTAGAAATGAAACTTGTGGCTTCACTCAGTGAGCAAACGAGAGTAAAAAAAATCGGTTGATTTTGATAAAAATACCAATCCTGGTGAAACTCGTTCAGATGATTAATGTTCTGTTGTTAGGTTTGATAAAATCTTCTGAAAGTTAAAAAAAGAAAAAGAAATGCTGAATGTTGACGTTTTGTATAAACATGATTTATAATTCTTTCAGAATACTATGAAGAAGAAGGCAGGGATTGAACAGAAATTGAAGTCACAGTTATTTTTCACAGATAAGTGAAGCAATCATCTTTGGGGAATCCCCTGTAGAATTCTTGTTAATAGCAAACGATTCTTTAGGAAATTTTCTAAAACAAAAGACTGCTGTAGGAAGTTTCAAAGAGTCTCTTTGTAAGAACGAACTCCTTCATTGATGAATTGCACATTTAAACTTTCCTCAAAATGATCAGTTCAGTTGAGAATTCTCCGATTAAACTCAAAAAGAGACACTGAAGTTCCCATCTTTTGCAAATCCAACGTTTCTTTAGGAATAATTGTTCACAAAGAGATTGTGAAATTATGTAATTTGAACTTTTCTAAAGGGGTGTCTATTATATTTGAGAAGCTTCTGGGATAAATTTCTGAAATATCAGAAAGCATTCATTTCCAACAAACTAAGTAAGAAACTCAAAGCTTCTCAAAGTGATGATCTTTCTCTTTCACGAAGGAAGTGAACTAAAACTGTTGAAGAATAATCTGTAATAAATCACAGAAGTCTCAACGAACGGTCAGTGGAGACGACGAGATACGAAATTTTTCTTAAGTGGAGTATCGTCTCGAGCAAGAGGAGGTTGAAAATAACGCAGCTGGCCTGACGAGATGAGAGAAAGGTGGACGTTACGGTACCAACTACCGGTCTCCCTTTCTCCAGTGCCATTCGAGCGAGAAGAAAGGCAAAACGGGAAAAAAATGCACGCCGCATTCTTGCAGCTCGCGCAAAAGAAAAACCAGTGAGAGTCGTGCGCACCCGCTCTGGATCTTATTAAAAGAAAACTGTTTCGGCCGAAAGCTCCTCCAACAAATTGTGCAGCTCTCAGCTTCTCTTCTCTGCCATCTCAGTCCCTTTCTTCATTCCGTTAATTATAAAATACTGTACCCTGAAATATAATTGATTAGCATACAACATTTTTCCTTTGCTCCTTATACTTGGTAAAGTTTAGTGAAATTTGCAAATACTGATGGTACAATTCATTGCTATCTTTATTCAGAATGAAATCAGTGATGCGCCAAAGTTATTAGACTCACCTTCTAATCATGTCTGTCGCATAGTATGTGTTACCATTTCTAGTTATACTATGTTATGTTAACCAATACATACAAAAGTATTGAACTTGTTCATAGCGTTTGATACATTTCAATGAGCTCTCTGGAGAACTGGTCCGATAATTGTTAGAAATAAATGCTGGAGAAATTCGCGGCCTGGCTTGAGAACTGTTCGAAGTTTTTCTCCCTAAAAGGGGAGAATCCCCCAATGGAGACGACGATGTTTTCACTTGTTCTGGATTTTTCAGAATATTGGGAGTGATGGTCGAACGATGTTTTGCAACGAAGGAAACCAGTATCGGTTGGCAAAGAGAAATCATTAGCTGAGACTACAAAAGAGAGGTTTACGGATTATTCACATGCCTTGCGCTAATTGAAACAATTCTGCTGAAAAAAAAAAAGTGAAAATATTTTACTATTTAAACACAAATGGCCCAGAGAAAATTGATACTAAGTTCCTTTTCATCTGAGATTGGAGAAGAAGTATTTTTAAATTAGTATGCGTGTCCAAAATTGACTCTCTCTCTCACTCGAGATACAAAGATCAACAAAAGACAACGCTTTCACTGTTCTGTGAAATAAAATGCAATGTTGATGGAACGTTAGCTGAACTTCTTATGGAAACTAAATTTAATAAGAAATCCTTTCCCTAGTGACGAATTTGTTAGTAAAATGTGAACTTCAAGAATTAGATCAATTAGAAATTTATGTTCTTCCTTGACTGAAAATTACCATTTTACAGAGATGATGAGTCACCGGTGAAAACTTCTCTGAGGGGAAGAAACCGGACGGTTTAAATTAAAATAAAGTACAAATTGGAGCAGAGAAGATGTAAAACGAAGTTGCATCGTGTGGGAGAGGAGGAGAAGAGAAAGAGAAAGGGAACTACCGGAATTGTTTACGTCGAATTTTTGACAGTAGGTGGGTCAACACCGAGCCAGCTTTCATCTGAAAGTACCTGGAGAAAGTATTCGCACTTTTTTGTCCGAAGAGATTCTCTTATCAATTATCCCCGAGGTATCGTGAAACAAAAATTGCCATTTCAGCAGTTGGACACTGAATAAATGTGCATCGTATTTCTGAAAAAAATCACTGCTAATATGCTTTTTAGATTCTAGCAAGAAAAAAAAAAAAAAAGAAGAATGCGAGAATGAAAATGAGATATGGGAATCGAAGAGATGCGTTATTGCATTTTTCTTCTTCTTCTTCTTTTTGAGATGTTAATCGGTGAATACTTTGCATCTCGCTCCGACTGTAATTGATGCAATTACGATTTCTAGCAATTAAACGGCGAGGCAATGGCTTCCTTTCCTTGCGAGTCGCAAAGTCGGATTGCAAAGCCCAGTTACAAAAATATTGCGCTCCCCCGTCGGGAGAGGCCACTGCAGAATCACGCTCGAAGAGAAAGTAGAATAACTACGAAATAATGCCGCCCTTATCCCAGGAATTCGGTGTATGCAAGCAGTTCAACCAGAACGAGAGAAGAGCGAGTTAATTTCCGGGTGCAATGTGAACAAAAATTCTGACGACCATCTTTTCCTAAATTATAAAAATTTCATAGAATTGCAGTGTCGTGGAACTTTAGGGAAGAATCATGCGAATGAAACATTGCAAATTGATCATCAATCCAGATAGCGTTGGATCAAGTCTCAACTGTGGGAATCCACGAGCTCGAACTTCAGAGAATTCTGTTCGACACATCCTGTTCAACAAAATTGAGAATACAAGCTCGATTATACACTACGTTCCTGATAAGCAAGGAGCAGGCATTTATAAGCACTCACCGCTCGTTTCTCGAAGCGTGTAATGACACGGGTAAACGTTTCTGAGTAGAGGCACTCATTGTCAGTAGGGTGAAAGTGCAAGCTGCACTTTATTAGACGGAAGAGACTTGTCGGAAGAGAATGAGACGCGAGTGAAATGACCTAGGCAGCATGCGAAGGTTAAGGACAACTTTCACCTAAAACTTGCGGATGAAGGTTGGCTGGAAGGCCATTCTCCTCTCGACAAGCCACTGACAATATTTTAAAAAATATAGCTAAGGTAAGATCTACAAGACTTGATCTTCAAGTCAGCTGTTTCTTACCTGCACAACCAAAGGTAGTAAACCACTCTTTCATACAATTAAAGAATAAAGAAATAATCAAAGTAAAAGATAAGACAAGACCTCTTGATAGCCTTTCAGTAGATAGCAATTCATTCTACTTTTAGTTTTAATGCCAAAAAAAAAAAAAAAAAAAAAAAAAAATGAAGCAATACACTAGCAAGCATACATATAAGTAAAAGATGTCTTCTTTTTCTTTATAATTTAACATTTGAAACTTTCTTATACTACTTTGAGACATTATAAGTAAAGAACGACTCGTAAACATTTGCTTACAAACTCTATATATAATAATTATGAAACGGAGGATATGTTGAAGATGGCAAGTAAGATGACAAAATTCTGCACCAGTATGATCGATTTTGGTAGAAATAAATTCCAGCCGCAGTTAATGACGAATGATAAATAATAAGAACAGATAAAATAAATTTCATCTCACACTGACTCGCAATGAGAGTCTGAAAGAGATTCCGTGAATTAATTGAAGAAGCCATCACGAGGCAGTCGTAGAAGCATGTCCAAGGCGGGTGTACACGCCGAGACAGTACACGAAGTAGCACTCGAATGACGCCCGCAAGTAGATCGAGGTTAAAGATTTCTATGCCCGAAGGTTAAGGATGTCCCAGCATGGTGTCTATCGGTCCACCACGGAGTTTACGCGTGAAAGGTTTTCTTCTGTCGATTTACGTAAGGCAACGAAACTTGTTCTCCATTGTTTTGTCCACCGCGTCGAAAGTAATTTCCGCACTGGGCTCTCTGTTCCGTTAGTATTTTCAAGGACAAACGAATCGAGCTCTCCCTCACTTGGACGGAACTTGGGCTAGGTCATGGAAATACCACTAGCGAATTCCGAGAAAGATACGTACGTTAATGACGAACAATCCTTCTTTAGGGAGTATCGTGCACCTTCAATTTGATTTAGAATAACAAAACGGTTAAATAAACAGTGAACGTTTTTTTTCGTAAGAATCCTTATCATTTCTTTCATTGGAAAATACCTAGAAGAAGAGTGGTATATTTTATTCTTTGAAAGATGTTCTTTGGAATCTGTGTGAATAATTCTGTATCAGTGACAGAGAATCCTTATTATTTCCTTCATTGAAAAATATCTAGAAGAAGAGTGGTATATTTCTATTCTTTGAAAGATATTCTTTGGAATCTGTGTAAATAATTCTGTATCAGTGACAGAGAATCCTTATTATTTCCTTTATCGAAAAATATCTAGAAGAAGAGTGGTATTATTTATTCTTTGGAAGATGTTCTTTGGAATCTATGTGAATGATTCTGTATCAGTGACAGAGAATCCTTATTATTTCCTTCATTGAAAAATACTTAGAAGAAGAGTGGTATATTTTTATTCTTTGGAAGATGTTCTTTGGAATCTGTGTAAATAATTCTGTATCAGTGACAGAGAATCCTTATTATTTCCTTTATCGAAAAATATCTAGAAGAAGAGTGGTATTATTTATTCTTTGGAAGATGTTCTTTGGAATCTGTGTAAATAATTCTGTATTAGTGACAGAGAATCCTTATTATTTCCTTCATTGAAAAGTGAAGAAGAATGATATATTGAAAGAAGAATGATATATTTTCATTCTTTTGGAAGATGTTGTTTGCAATGTAGGTAAATGATTTTGTATCAGTAACAGAGAATTCTTATTTGATTGAAAAATACCTGAAAGAAGAATGATATATTTTCATTGTTTGGAAGATATTGTTTGGAATGTATGTAAATGATTCTGTATCACTAACAGAGAATTCTTATTTGATTGAAAAATACCTGAAAGAAGAAGAATATATTTTCATTCTTTGGAAGATGTTGTTTGCAATGTATATAAATGATTCTGTAACAGAGAATTCTTATTTGATTGAAAAATACCTAAAAGAAGAATGATATATTTTCATTCTTTGGAAGATGTTGTTTGGAATGTATGTAAATGATTCTGATATATTTTCATTCTTTAGAAGATATTGTTTGGAATATATGTAAATGATTGATTTTCAAGAAAACTCTTCAGGGAACATCTAGCCGATTTTTAATTCAGTTGATCCTGAAGATAAATATAGATATAATACTTTAATTTCATAATGTTTTAGTATATGCATGTTCATCATCTATTTGGATATTGATAATCATAACGTAAGATGATTTATAATTGTTTCCTTGTGAGTTTCCAGTATGATATTAAAGAACCGTTGGACGATCATTGATTTGTTAAAGTACCATTATAAAGAATGATACGCTATGCATCGCCGTCACAGACCGGCCAGGTAGTAGAAACTTTCCAATCAGCGTAGAGCGACAAGGATTATTAAAAGAGGATGAGGAATAAGCGGTTTGCTGAATTCCTCGATCGCGGACGTGCTAATACGACGTCCTTGCTTAACGCATGGTTTCTCCTGCTTACCGATTAAGATTTCTCCCTGCGTATTGCATAGAACTCTGTTATCTAATCTGAAGTTTTTCATCTCAAGCCGGGAGAATCCCGCTTTTCTCACCTACGAGTACGAATGAAAAATTCGATGAAAATCACTGAACACCATTACTGTAATGACGAGATGATTGCAGCGATTAGAGAGTAAAAATACTCTCTAATTTTTCCTCACGAATGAGAGGAGAGGAACGAATTTAATCGGGCATTAAAAGAGCACTTAAATCGACGAAGATGTCGTTCAGTTGAAAAGTAGAAAAATCATGCGTGCAAAAATTCTTTTGCGTGAAAGAAAGAAAGAAAGAAAATCTTCTAGCTAGCTGGTTTAGAAGTCTGGACGACTGATCAGAATGCAAATGCATCTGAATCGGCGATCAGAGCTGGGAAAATGAAATCAGCTTGGGAAAAAGATTTGCAAATCTCTGTCGGCGTATTATGATACAGGAAAGTTCTTCGCGTTTACCTTTTCGTTGCTCCAGTTTCCATGGGAATTGGATTCCAATGTCGCTGTCACGGTTGCTGTCCATATAACCATAGCCACCTGCAAGAAGACATAATCTGTTCCATCAATTTCTTCTTTCTCTCTCTCTCTCTTTCTTTCTGTCACGTTCAGAAAGACAATTACGCCAAAAGAGAAGAAATATAAGAAGAAGAACAGAAACAGACATAAAAAAATAAATAACTGCAGCAACAATAATGAGAGAATTTCTAAAGTAGTAGGACTATAAAGAATTTTACATCGTTTAAATTTAAATTGTTAAATTTTCTTCCTTTCTGCCGTATACAGAGTAGAAAGCATAAATATTCTTATTGTTGAATTACGGAGATTTATCTTTCACTTCAAAAAAAAAAAAAATTATTGACGAGCAAGTTACAAATCATTGTTTTATCTTTCTCCATTTCGAAATCATATGTACATATAACAAAAGTGAAGAATATTAGAAAATAATAAAACAACGACTCTTTTGCCATCAAATAGTAATTCACGTTCTTCGTTTTCATTCTATGCGAATAAAAAACGAGGCTGTGATTTTTACATTAGCAAAATTTCCTCCTTAAATTTATCGATTAATAGCAAAGAATTATTCTAATTATACCGTCATTTTTCTGGCTTTCTGGTCTCGAGGTATCAGTTTGAATATTTCCATTAGACACGGAAGTAATTCGCATTTAATAAAATTGCACAATTGAGAGAGGGCAGTTTTGTCACCGGAAGTAACCATGTGAATAAAACACGGAGAATAACAATACATGGAGTACAATTAACGATAATAAATATTACCTTTTGGATAATAATGGTAAAAGTGTATTCAGTGTACAACTTATTAAGTAGAGATATTTGTATTTGTAATTTCAAGTTCACTTTCATTGAAGATTTAATTACTTTCTAACTGTTGCACATATGTTCGCATATAAATAATAGTTCTGCCAGTGGTAATGCATTTGCGAATTACACGAGGAAATGTGAAAGCTAAATTCTCAAATGGATAAGAAGACAAGCTTATTCGTAAGTTTGACCAATTTGTCACTTGCTTGATGTAACATCTAATAAATCACACGTGCAAATTTATTTACATTTCAAATAAGATAATTTCGATTCCGTTATATCGTCTATACTTCTGTAGTTTTGCTACGTCCTCTTCGATACTCATTCAGCGATTTTTCACGTGAAGAAAGGATCAAAAAGACGTTGATTAAAACTTACGATTTGGCAGATTTTCAATTTTAATTTCCATCAAAATTATGGCCTTTCTTTCAATATTTATTTATTTCTTTATCCTCGCTAAAAAAGAAGAAGAAATTAAATGATCAAAAGAAAATAATACTTACGAAATAAAGGAGATTCATGTCTTTTGTGTGTCAATTAACGACTCGTTGGACAGTAGTTCCTGCGTGTGTTGCCCTTCCTAGACTTCCAGGATGCTCTTCTCTCTATTCTCTTATACGGCTGCCAATCCTCTGGAACCTCGATCCGATGCACGCACTCCGGAAAGAAACAGTGTACTACTTCGTCTCGGCGTGATACACTTGACTTAACTGGTAGCTCCAGTTATCCCCACGCATCAAAGGAGTTCGAAGAGAGCTACGATCACCTTTAAAGATCTCTTGGCCAGCATCGGATGCACACACTCGGCTTGCCACCGATATTCCGTCCCACAAAAATCGCATTTGACCAGGAAATGAAATAGAATGGCTGTTTGTTAGAAACGAACGGCAAATAAACGTGAGAGACAATGCATGGAATTGATAAAAAGACGTATAGTGCAGTAAAAAACTTAAGTTATCTGAATAAACGAGAATTAGCACGATTCTGTTAACACTGCATATTGTTACTGAATGTTGATAAAATAGGAATTGATGGAAAAATTAATGATCAGAAAGTTGATCGTACAAGATGATTATAAAAAGGTGATTCTAGGTCAAGAAAAATGTCAGGAATATAGATATATGATTTATGCTTAACTAACTTTTGACTGAGTTTTATCACACTGCTGGCCAAGCATAGAAATATTATATAAATTCACTCGCTGCAACATATAGCCTCTTGTAAATAGACTGTGAATATTTAAACGTGCAAAGTTACACAAGATGCAAATAACGTACGAATTCAAGTTCACGTCATAACATTCAGACCATGAAACAAAGCTCTATTTAAATTCTATTTCATCTACTTATTCATCTAAAGTGCACAAAAATAAAATATAGTTGCGTATAATTACTCTGAATATTCTTCCACGAGATATAGTGAATATTATTATACATTCCATACAGTTGTTCCAAGTATTATTACGGTCACTTGAAATATGCTCATATAATCATTATAATCACATGTATAATAATCGTTACGCCGAATACAGTTATCTGAAACATCATCGTGTGTTTAATCACTTAAAATATTATTACATGATGTGTAGCCATTTAAAATGTACTCGCATAAAGTGAGTACATTCTCACTCATATAATCACTAAAAGTATCACTCAGTGTTATCTAACTTTAACAATAAAAAACAATATTTCGTACATACATACGTACGTTTAGTGGAAGTACGTTCAATTTCTGCTGACGATCCGTGCGCAAATGTCATGGAAGGAGAGAAAAAAAAATGATCAAATGAAGAGTCGAGAAAGTGACACTGACGGAACCAGTGGACTTCCCAATGACTTTTCCTTTTCTTTTCTTCTTTAGCTATTATTGCCATTAATAGTCGAATCCTTGATCAAGAAACAGGTACATAGAAAAGCTCGACATTCTCTCGTTTCGTACAAATATTGTCTGCATAAGAAGACATAAACAATTCAACGGATTAATAGAAATAATACATAAAATATATATGATATATATGAAAAAGGAATAAATACTTTGTTAAGTGGAAAAAAAAATGTACATTTTCTTCAGTGCTTCCAAGTATAATAAATTGTATGTTAGAAACAAACTGATAGAAACAGCATTACATCACCTCGTTGTAAGAAGAAACATAATCTCGACATAGAGCTTTGTAACATTTCGTTTTCCTGAAGGCAACATTTTCTTAGGGTAGCGCTATAAATTGAAAGCAAACATAATACAAGTCACATCGAGTGATTG